ACTTGAAGGATGGCTCGCGGGTGCGCACTGTCCGCTTCGAGTCGGCCATATTCATTGCAGAATTGCACCCCAAGAACCAGTATGTGCACATGCATGAATTTAGATGGGCTCCGACTGACAATGCCTAGTATGCTCTTTGTGGCTGCGCTCTTTGAAGACCAGCCCGTTATTGTGGACATGTCTGAAGAAACTCCCGTCAAACATTCGCTATCGTCTGCGCCCCACCGAACCGACATTGAGCGCGAGAATGCTACAGAAAAACAAACTGCACAGGATGCCAAACAGACCACAACAATGACTCTCTTCACACCTACTGGAGAGCATATTATAGCAGGCACAAACAAAGGGTGGCTCAACATTATCGATACCAAGACGCATCAAGTGCGCTATTCATTCCGAGCCACCAACAACATTATTGTATACATTCGCCTGACACCATCAGGCAGGGACGTTGTGATCAACTCGAGTGATCGTATTGTCCGGACTCTCCATCTGCCCGACCTCAGTGACCCTAAATTGGACTTTGACACACTGCAGTTGGAAGTTGAACACAAGTTTCAGGATCTGGTGCAAAGGCTATCATGGAACCATGTTTCCTTCAGCCCAACGGGCGAATATGTTACTGCGTCTACCTGGATGAACCACCATATTTACGTTTGGGAACGTGGACAGGGCAGTTTGGTTAAGATTCTTGAAGGCACCAAGGAGGAGCTGTCTGTTGTTGAGGTTTGTTTTTTGTATATGACAACGGATTTCGGACGCTAATGTTGGCAGTGGCATCCATTTCGGCCCTTTGTGGCTGCTGTTGGGGTAGACTCTGGCCGGGTGTGGCTTTGGTCCATCTTGCAGCCCCAGCGCTGGTCTGCGCTTGCACCGGACTTTCTCGAAGTAGAAGAGAATGTCGAATACATTGAGCGCGAAGACGAGTTCGACATCCAGCCGCTCGAAGAGTTGCATAAGCGGCGGCTCAATCAAGAAGACGAAGAGGTGGATGTCCTCACCGTGGATCCCGTTAAGGCTGGGGGCAATGAATTTGGGCCTGGCGTTGGCGAAGCTGAATTCAGCATGCCGATCCTGCTGGATATTGAGGCTAGCGATAGTGAAGACGAAGTGGTGGCAGTTGGAGCTGGTCAGTTCAGACGGCGCACGCCTGGCGCTGCGAGAGAGTGGATGAACGAAGACGAGGTGGCAGTCAGCGGCGATGAAGTACGAAGAACTAACGGGAATGCAGTGCAAAACGGGACAAAGCGACGACGCGCCGGTTGATAGGAACGAGAGTGGTTTCCTGAAACACAGAAACAGAAATGGACGAGCAGACCAGAATTTGCGAGAAAAAGGCGAGGGTTGAATATTGCTAATGCAGCAAGCCCTTGTTCCATAAATGATATTTATTAGCATATGAGCCAGACAGGAAGAAGGTAGTGGGCATAATGCCTGGAGATGGATGATAGATTACATCCAATCTTATTAGCGCTTTCCAACTTTTTAGTATTGTCCTTGGTCACTGTGAAGTTTATACTTGTCTGCTTGTATGATGTGAAGTAGGGTTTGTATACCCCTGATGCATGCACATGGAGCTGGCTGGGTTGGTTGTCTCATCGTGGCTATGGGAGACGAGGAGCTCTGCATAAAAAAAGTAGGATGTTCGTGTGTGTAAGTATACATGGAGGTTGGCAGTGGTTGTGCCTTATGCCTTATGCCTTGGTGCCTGGTGACCCAAGGTCGCGCCTACCCTCCAGCGTGGGTGCTTCGTGACAACAGTAGCGTGGTAACGACTTAAAGGTTTTGCGTTACTCACTGTGACCCGCTTCATCATCTGCTGCCCGGCCGGAGGGCACTAAAATGTTTGCAGCGCTATCCTCGTAACGATCGTCCCACGGACCGGCTGCCTAGGGCTGGCAACAGCATTCATGATCAACGAGCTACTCAGCATACAGGGGTAACAGCGGTGCAGTCACGAGTTCCCGAGCCTTTGTCGGTGTCTGCTTGCGGCGGTCATCAACGTCATCGTGGAGATTTGGGACATGCATTGGGGGGCGTCGCCTCAGCCGGGCAAGCCGTGGTGGTCAGGAAATTACGCGCTGCTTCCATGGAACGGCGTGGGCAGGGAGCTCCTCAACATCAACTTGATAGGCGGTCAGCCTTGTGAAGACTTGGACAAGTGTATGTCGAGGGCATGTACAGGCCTGGTCAGGTTGCATCACTCGGCAGTAGCAGGCTTGGTGCAGGAAAAAAAGAAGGTGTGGTCAGGATGGGGTGGATAGGCCGAGGAGGCAGCGGCAGTGGGCGAGGTGCTGACGCTCGTCCGCGACAATGGTCGAAGAGCGTGGCGGAGTGGTCAGTTGTCGCACGAACATCAAGACAGGGTGCACAGCGAAGGCGAAACGCGACGGGCAGCAAAGCGTGCAGTACAGTGTGCAATGCGGGACAGGGCAGAGCAGAGCAGAGCAGACGGAGGAGGCAGATGCAGATGCAGCAGCAGGGCAGACTAGGCCAAACAATTGCGAGATGCAAAAATGGCTATTGAGCGTGTGGGATGGAGCAAAGGTTGTGCTGGTGCCGCATATGCGAGGATGCGCGATGGCTCCCTACCGCCCGCCGCTCAGGAACTGGAACGCGCAATTTAGCTCGCCATGGCACAAGGCAAGGCCACATGGGCCAATGTCAGCAGGCAGGGCAGACTGCAGCATCAATGGCAGCATCAATGGCAGCATGAACAACAGCAGTAGTAACAGCAACAATAGCGGCAATGTGTTCGAGATGCATCTGGAGCGACAATGAGAGCGGCGCTGGGTATATCAACCTGTCGGATGCGGACTAGCGCCCTTGGTCGTCGGGGCCAAGGGGGCCGTGTCCTCACCTCTTGCTAGAGCGCCGACAGAGACAGAACGTTTTAGCGATTCCGCCCAATATGATCTGGCAAGCCGACCACCCCAGCTGGGCCGAAGCCCTTTCTTTGCCTGAGCGGCAACCCTCATCGCGCACCCTCCCTCTCCACCATCCTCCACTCCATCTCGTGCCACCCTCTTTGTACCAGCCCACCTCGTCTTCTTCACGACTCCCAGGCGCACGCTCAACCGCTGCACGCACGCACTTGCCCGCCTAGCCACCAGGACGCTCCTCTGCACCAGCACGCTGACACGCGGAGCCGCCCTCATCTCCACTCACCGCTGCAGCAGACTGCCACACCAATACCTACCAGCCTGCCTGCGTCTGCCCAACCCCATCTCGATTCATCATCACCGCCGCGTCGCCTGCACGCGAACATGACCACGAAATCTCCAAAGACTCTCGTCGTCACTCTCAAGTTGCCAGCAGACTCTCTAACCAGGTTCGCCCGCCCGCCCACGCCGGCGCCTAGCGACCTCGCAAAGCCTTCTCCATCAACACCCACGCCGCAAATCGTCGAGTCTGCGCCTGCTGACGACACGCCCGCCGACGACACTATCATCATGAACGACGCCAGCACCCCGTCGTCGCTTGCTCCTCCCACTGCCAAGAGGAAGGGGCCAAAGCCCGGCACCAAGCGGACTGCTGCTCAGATGGAGGCTGGCTCCAACGCCGGAACCCCAAAGCAACCCAAGGCCAAGCCTGGTCCAAAGAGGAAGAAGATGGGTGACATCATCAACGATCCAAACTCCAAGCCATCCTTTGCCGCAACCCCAGCCATTAACAAGGCAGGGCCAAAGGCAAACCTTGGAGCCATCAACGAGCGCCTTCGCGCCCTTGACAGGTCAGGCGCAAAGTGCCGTCGCTGGGAGAAGAAGGGCTTCCAGGTTCGCAGCTTCACCGGCGTTCTCTGGCAGGTCCCTACATATCAACCCGGTCGAGCCTCCGCCTTTGCCGACGACGTCAAGAGCGACAGCACCGGCACCAGCGACTCCAAGCTAAAGGACGAGAGCAGCGCAATCAGCGACAAGAGCGGGCTCAATGGCGACAGTGCATCAGTACAAACGCCCATGAACGGCATTGCCAGCTCGCCGGCGCCCATTGTCGCTTGAACATTCGTCATCTCTCTCCTTTGTCAACTATATGATGCACCCTGCCTGTACCGCAGCTGTGCATCTCTCTCGATTTCTGCTGCTTGTTTTTCCACGTATTCCCTTTGTATCTTCTGAACATGTTGGGCGTTCATGGATGGCATTGAATGCCTATCTAAAAGGCGTTTTTTTTCTATGGGGGTATATCTGGGTTGTGTAAAGCACGGGTGAAGCAAGGCGCATGAGCCGGGGATTCGAATTGCGACTACATTTGTACTGGATAGAAGCGCGCACACGAAGCAGTGAAAAAGGCATTGCTTTTGCCTATCATCACGGGGCATTGAAAGGCCCAAATATTATTGTCTATTATATACCCATTATCGACCAGCCCCTGATTGTGTTCCTTAGTCATTTGGTCACCATGCATCTAGTGCCCCCCTTCGTGCATATCCTAGAAACTGGATTGTTGGATCTTCATATAGTTAACAATCAACCCCTCTCCACTGATTACCGTATAGAGAGAGAAGAAGGAGAGAAAAATTGGTCAGCGGAAATGACTTGCCAGATACTGGCGAGCGTAACCGCAGTAATGGCGTTATCTGCCCGCGGACTGCGGGGATGGTCCCCGATAGCTCGGCTGCATCCTAAACCTCATGAACCATCCTTGACCGTCGACTTGAACTGTACCCTCGCGCAAGCACTCTTTGCCTCTAGCAACATACTCTTTGCATGGAACCATGAATGTATTTGTGACTATAGTTGCACAGGAGCCTGGGTGTCGCTGATTCTTACTCTGACCGTCTGGCGACTGCACTTGCCAGCACAGTACCTCCTCATCTACCCGGCGTCCTTCCTTACGCGTCCTGAGTGCCTTTTCTCGCTTCCAAGCTCTGTAGCGACTCCAACCACCTGTCCGACCATCCCGATTCGCGAACAGGGCGTGTCCTCCTCTTGCGACCGCTTCCATACGTCACCCCGAACACGTCCGCAGCCACAGCCCACGTCACCATCGCTCTCGCAATGATGAATGCTCGTAGGGAGAGTTGGGCCAGGATCGCCGCTGGGTCATCAGGGAGCAGCGGCAGCTCATTCCACCAACCTTCTCGATCCACGCCGTTCTCTCACCTTGGCGGCAACACCTTGGCCTCCAACCCGAACCGCCTCTCTCGCTCCATCGACGCCGACGGCCACATGTCTACAAGTCTTGGAAGGGGCGGCGGACCACTGCCCTCATATTCGAGCCAGTCTGGCCACTGGAACTCGATGGGAGCGCCAGCTCAAGAAGTACCTCCGTTCTTCGTGCCGTCGTACCTGCGGGGATCCAAGCATGCGGAGAAGCTGGAAGAGGTGCACAAGATGAAACTGGCGGCACAGCGCGAACACAAGTCAACCCATTCGTCCAACGCGGGGTCGCTATCGACGAGTTCGAGTAGTGTCAATCTCCACAAGATGGCACCTTCACACCGGGGTCTTACGCACGAGGTCATTGAGCATGCGCCTGTGCTTATAGACGAGTCTATAGCGCCCTGGCCAACAAAATGGAACGACGGCGACCGGTTCAGTCAGCTAGAACTTGAGGACGGTGGAAGAATGGCAAAGTTCGCAGGCACGCAGAAGACTCACGACGAAGCCGCGGCGGTCCGGGCAGATTTCCCTATGCCAAGGCAGTGCGGGATCTATTACTACGAAATCACAGTCATTTCCAAGGGCAAAGACGGGTATGTAGACCTGAAGCTTGATAACGCGCATACTAACACGCTCTATAGAAGGATGATTGGGGTAGGATTCTCAGGCGCCAAGGTCGCCTTGAGCAGGATACCAGGTTGGGAGCCGGACTCGTATGCTTACCATGGCGATGATGGACAAGTATTTAGCAATACTACCTCTGGAAAGAATTACGGGCCAAAGTTTGGCACATTGGATGTTATTGGATGTGGCATCAACTTTCGGACCAATACTGCCTTCTTCACCAAGAACGGGCATATGCTGGGTAAGTAAGGGAGCCTGGAATGATCAAATTCACTACTCACATCTTCAGGTGTTGCTTTTAAGGATCTGAAACCCAACATGCCGTACTACCCTACAGTAGGCATGAAGAAACCTGGCGAGACAGTTCGTGTAAACTTTGGCCAGGAACCTTTTGCTTTTGATATCGATAAGATGGTGCAAGACGAGAAAGCTGCTATACAAGCAGAGATTGCACGAACAAAAGTTGAATCAAGCGCCGCCGGGGGTGAGGATGCCCTGATACATCAGCTAGTCGGACAATATCTAGCTCATGACGGCTACGTTGAGACTGCTCGAGCGTTTTCAGCTGAGATCCTGGAAGAGGCAAAAGCACTTGCGAACGACGAAAATGCAGATCTTCCTTACCGGACAGCCGTTGAAGATTTGGATGCGCTAAATAGGCAAAGTGAGTTCAGCGCGATTCAGGATCTACTAACGGCATGCTGACATACCACAGAAATTCGTACAGCTATTCTTGAGGGCGATATTGACAAGGCGCTTAAGCATACGTATGCATATTATCCTCTTGTTCTCCGCGACAACGAGAACATTTACTTTAAGCTCCGCTGCCGAAAGTTTATCGAGATGATACGGCGGTGCGGCGAGCTCAATGCGCAATGCCATTCCACACCGACAGCACCCTCAAAACGCTCAACTACTGAGGAATATGATTTTGAAATGGAGCTTGACGAGCAGTTGGGCGTACACAATCCGCCACCCAGTTGGGACAACAAGAACCAGGACGATGAGCTTGAAGACAAGGACGAAGATGATATCGAGGATAAAGAAGCCAAGAGTGCGCGCGCGTTAGACGAGACGATTGCCTACGGTATGGAGCTCAAAGCTGAGTTTGCCAACGATCCAAGACGCGAAGTGAAGAGGGCGCTCGAAGACACATTTGCTCTGATCGCTTATCCTGATGCACGTGAGAGTATGCTAGCGCCGTTGTTGGATGTTGCTGGTCGTGCACCAGTAGCTGAAGAGCTCAACAGCGCGATACTAGGTATGTTCAAGTTTTCTTTGAATGTGATATACAGAGAGCTTAGGAACTCTCAACACCAAATACCCTTCGCCTACGCATATGACGTGCTAACGCGTTCCAGTCTCTCTAGGTAAATCCTCATCAGCCGCCTTGGAGCGCCTGGTTCAACAAGCCGAGGCTCTTGTTACGGAGCTAGCAGATGACGGTGGCCCTGGCTCCTTCATCAACGTACGGAAAGATTTCCTGCAATAGATCTGTACTAGCTCCTACTTTGTCAAGTCCATGGGTTTCGGCGGCACCAAGCGTATGGACGGAAACGGGGCATGTGGCTTGCATGAGGTGGAGTCCCCACCTACCTCCACTGTGCCGCACGAATCGAACCACGATACCAGTGCATCATGAAGAAAAACAAGGCATGCAGAAATCGCAACCCCCAACCAATAGTATCACGATGCTCGAGAGACTGATCCTAACATGCACGCTCGTCCCCGTCGAAGAGAAGTGGATTTTCTTTTTCATATCATCGCTATTGGCATTTGCATGGACTAGATGGGCTTTTGTGGCGTTTTGGGCGAGAATGAAGGCCCGGGCAAGGGTTAGGCAGAGGAAACAGGGAACATCACTACTCTTTGCTAAAGCTTCCGGGGAATATACTTGTGAAAGGGTTAGGGTGAGGTATCTTTGCTACAAATGTCACTCATAGGCTTTTACGATGATGACTTGCAAATGGAAGGCCTGGTCTTTCTGGTCTTTTTGTATTCATTGGGACGCGGAGATTCAACGTGTATTACTTACTACGCTTATCAACACACCAATGCCATATGATGATGGCGTCTTCCCCTCCTTTTGTTTCCTTATTTCAACCCGTGAGATTTTCTCCAAGCGATTCGACTTTGCTTGAGTTCTAATCGTGACATACAAACCCCCCCCTTTTTTTTTACAAAGGCCACCACCACCTCTTCTTCTTCTCCCCCACCTCACCCGCACCCTTCCCAGCAGCCCCCTTGTCCCCCTCCCCCAACCGATCAAAAAACACAACCATGATCGTCGTATCATCCACCGCATTCCGACTCAACGGCTCCGGCCCCGCCAGTATCCCCAGAAACAACGCTCGCCTCGTCCCACCCATGGCATTCCGCGCCAGACAAACCGCCGCATTCTCATCCTCAATCGCAAAATACTCAGGCGTAGCTTTCCACTCTACATCCTGTCCTTGCTCGGGGTCGCACATCACGCCAGGCTCTAGCGTTCCGCCTCCGGACTGTTGTGCTGCTCCGGTAGGCAGGAAAGGCGAAAAAGGGTTTTGAGCGGAGAGCGCAGACACAGAGGAGAAGTTTGGCGGGTTGACTTTCAAGTGCGGGTCAGAGAGAACTGAGCCTTTGCCGCGGGCGCGGGCCTCGAGGTAGCGCTGTACGCATTCGACTGCGTGGTCCGAAGAGATTCTGTCCCAGAGGCCGTCGGAGGCGAGGATGAGGAAGTCGGATTTTCCCTTTGTAGCATCCGTAGAAGGATATTTGTAGTCGTCTGGCTCGCATCGTACAATTTGCGTTTCGGTAATTTCCGGTTCAGCAGTCATATATGGTGGCGTCTTCGAGCCAGGCCGCGGAGCCGTGCCCCAGAACTTGTGTTGGCATGCTTTGACGAGGTCGTTGTCCCATTTCCAGCGGTGGTCGCCGAAAGCACGCGTCACTGCTATGCCCATGAGCCGTCCGGTTTTCGGGTCGATGATGGAGGGTTCGTCCGGGTGCTCGCGGGTTAGTCGTTCTACTTCTGCGGCGTTGAAGCCGGTTTGGTCCACGGAGAGGGGAATGGCAGTATACGAGGAGGTGGAGGGGTCCCAGCGGCCGAGGACGGCGCGCGAGTCGCCTGTGCAGGCTACGCGGAGGGTGCAGGTGGATGCGTCGAAGGCGGCTAGCAAAGCGCAGGAGCCTGAGAAGGCGGGGGTGAGGGCGGCGATGGCGGCTGCGTTTGCGGCGGGATACCAGTTTGCTGCTGTTTTGGCGCGGTCCATGATTGTTCTGTCAGTAGAGAGAAAGGCGTTTTTGATTGTGTTTTCAATTTCTGGGCTTGATGCTGTACGTGGCAGGGCACAGAGGGCAGACGACACCATGGGGATCAAAGACCACTGTAGATAGAAAGCTGTGTGGCGTCCTGCGTGTCCATCGAGTACAGTCCAGTAATTCCACGGCTTCTCTCCCGGTCCAGGACTCGTTCCCAGCGCGAAGAAATCCTCACACGGCTCGTTGCTTCGGAACCTGCAGCCGTGCGTGATAGGCATCTGGATGTCCTCCATGCCTTCGACGCCCTTGCGCGCATCGTCTTCGGTCATCATCCATCCGAAACATAGTTTTTCAAATTGATCAGACAGGAACTTTGCTACGGTGGGGTCTTTGAGCGGCGCGCTGGCATCCGGGATGTGGTAGTCGAGTGTGTGTTGAACCTCTGTGCGGTTGCGGTAGAAATGCAGCGGTGTTGTCAGTGAACTCGAGTCGTCGCCCGAGGAAAATGCCGCGTATACATCATCTGTCCAAGAGGGATCAACTATGTCGACAAGGTAGTATGCCAGGCCGCCGACGAGAACAAGAGCGATGACGGTCTTTGTGGGGAAACGTGATTGCAGGAGGGTGTTGGATGGATGTAGTATTTGCTGGCGATTTGTCTGGACATTTTGCAGTGTGCTCTGTGTCCTGAGATGTTCAAGTCGTTTGTGAAGTTGCCCTGTCTGTGAAAAGGCACGTGATGTTACACTGTGTCGAGCGCGTCTTAGATGCTCTATACGTGGCCGAATTATGCTACCTCCTGCTGTGAACGTGGATAACCGTCGAACCAATTGGGTTTGCGTCGCAGAGTTGAGGCAAGCCGTCCTCCCCCATTGTCTCGGTATCATGGTAGCTATTTTGATGATTAGCGACTTTGGCAGATTTGATGCTGGAAACTTCCTGTGGTAGAGATCAAAAAGTATGGTCTGTGCGTCCATGCCGATCGTCCACTCACGTGAAGCAGCCGGGTAGCGCCCGTAAGACGGTTTGAGCGACACAGTGCGTCAGCTAGAAATACGGGTCTAAATGGGCCCTGCAGAGGGACCCGGATATTTGAACACTGCCCCGTTCCCTCGAAATAGGCAAGATCTTCTGTGGGTAGAGGTCCATGTCCCAGCACACAGAAAGTGGTTTGAAAATTTCAAGAAGCATAATATAGTTGATTGATAGACTCTTTGTAAAGGATTGGGTATCGTCGTTACTGGGTTGTGTAACTCGCGATAAAAACAAAGTACTTGAAATTCCCTTCCCAAAATCAAACCCCAGACAAACACCTGCCAAAGACGCCAATGAAATTATTGACAACGATCAACAACAAGATTATCGAATCAGAAACAAAAGGCGGCCTGTCCTTGCGATACAAAAAGCATTAGAAATGTTCCTCCCTGTGTTCAGTCGGTCGTGTATCAGTCTCCTTCTATCATAACATGCCATACAATGTGTTGCCAATCTTTCCAATGTCCCAGTGTGTGTACCGACGGTAAGAATATCTGACGATGGACAAGCTGTATTTGACAATGGCCAGGACAGCTCACATCTCCGTCCAGTGCTTATCTTCAATGCGGTCCACCTCTTCGTAGTGCCTTTGCTTCTTCTCTTTCTTCTTCGTATCAGTGTTCTTTCGTCGGAGCATCAACTTCATCTTCGAAGCTAGCCTGCCAAAGGCCGCTGAGGTGGGGGTGCCGCCGTTTTGTTCATCTGGCCTCTCGTCTGCACTTAGTTCGATGTCTTCGCACTTTGGAGGGTAGTTTTGCTGAGATAGATCTGCTAATTTGAACTCGGTCGGCCGGCTGATGTGCCCCGCCTCTTTGGTGGGATGTGAGTACGGGGGCGTGTTTGAGGAAATCTCCTTGGTGTCGACGGCTGGTGCCTTTGAATGAGACACAACGGATGTGGGCTTGTGCTTCGGTTTGGGTGGTGCCTTGACTGGCAATGGTTTTAGCATGCGCCATACCGGCTCTCCAGGACTGGCAGGCTCGGAAGACGAAGACGTGGGCCGAACGAGAAGCACTGAAGAGTTGTTCCATTCAGTGCCGATCCTCGGTGAATAGGCTGGGGTCGATGGCTCTGAATCGATAAAGGTGCCAAAGGACTTGGCCGACATTGGTGGTGGAGACATTGGTCCTGACATGTCTGGTGTCATAGGAGTGTGAGCGAGGGTGGGAGGAGGGTAACTCTTTGCTGAAAAACGGTGTGGTCGTTCCGGTGACATGGTCCGCGGCGGCTTTGGCAGGCCATGTGTGGAGAGTGGTCTGTGAACGCTGTTGCCCAATGAGGCCGGGGAAATGTCAGGGGACGGCACGGAAAGCGTAGCCATGTCTATGGAAGGGTTATCGTGCCAAGTATGTGACAAGCTTTTCTGTGGACGTCGGCCTGGAAGGTGCGGAGGCGTAATGATGCCGTTTGATGAGACGCGCGACACGAAAAGAAAGTACGGCAATGGCGGCGGCGAAGGATGTGTAAAAGAAGGCAGCACCCGAGTGCATAAGCAAGCAGCAAAGGAATACTATTGCGGCACAGCCTTGGTTCCGGTCAAGTGGGTAAAGTCAAACAGGATAGGAGAAGAGAGACTGCGCCGCACAACGAAACATGACGATAACAGAGGACTGGGAAGTGGTACCACCTGAGGTCTGCAGGCTACACTTTTGCTATATGAATGCACTACACTCGCGTCATCGGCGGCGTGACAGTGCGTACTACACCCATTAGAGCTGTCGAGCATGTCAGAATAATCATGCTATCCTAGTGGCGATGTTGAGCTACGCCGTGCGCTTGAACGCGATTCAAAGTTTCGAGAGCCGCCTGTAATAGCCCCGCCGTTGGTACATGGTGTGGGAAGCTTCTGGAGGATGAAGGACGTTGGGTGTATGGCTCAGTTGGGAATAGATGGGCAGCCCAACACACAGAGGCGCTAATGTCGGCTTTCGATTGGATAGCAGCGCCCCAGTTGCATCGACCTCGCCGCAATTTTCATATGGACAGCGCCTGCGGAATTTGCACGGCCGTCAATGGGGAACCGGGGGGTGGGCCAACAATCCTGCGGTCGTTTGAACGGCTGAGATCTGCTGCCTTTGTCTGGGGTCAAAAGGCAGCGCCTCACAGCCCCATTCGCTGCAGTGCCTGGCGAATCAGCTCCCCAAGGCACCTCTTCAGCCCACGACCACGTCCCGCTCGCCACTGCGGCTGTCCGTTCTGTCATGTATCCAACAGCTATTGGCTTTGCACTCGAACCCTAAAGAAAAAAACGACCATGCTCAAACGTGGCTCGCCGTCATCCCGCGTACTCTGCTTCTCGTAGCCGAGACGCTCCGTTTGAAGCTAGGATCATGAGTTCGCTGATCAGGGCTGGCCCTGGTCGCGTGAGTGGTCACGAAGTCGAGCCAGGATACGAATACGTCTCTCATCGTGACCTAATACTATCAAAGGGCAGTGCCTAGAGTTGGGGTCTGCGCCGCAATATCGATGTTGTGGAAAAGTGGGTATGGTTGATCCTGCCCGCGGTTGGAGATGTTTGTGTCGTCTTGTGCAACGTCCATAAGCGCCGTGCGAGTTGATCTCTGCAACTACTGGCGCAGGCATCCAAATGTCATACTCATTGCAGGCACAGTAAGCGCACTGAGTATACTTTTTAATTAAGCCGAAAGGCATGCGTGAGGGGCACGTAAGCGATGCGTTGTTGCACCCTCGAGTAGCGGTTCGGGTGTTTAATAGGAACGCCGTCACTGCAGGCCCTGGCCAACAAGGCCCGGGAGCAAAGTAAGATGGAGATCGCCGAGACAAAGCCCTGAGCCACACGGTTGCGGGAGAAGCTTGGCCGACAGTGGGCGTTGCCCGCAGTGGAGCAGGCCAACTATGTGCTGGTCGCCAGGTCGGGAAGGGCTGGCTACCCAGCTATGCCTCATACATACATGAACAACGTCGAGCCCTCCCCATTCTCCACGGTCACCTGTAAGCATCACGCCACTTCCTCTTCAACGCTGTCTTGAAATGGACAAACACTCGGTATCATATGCCTGACGATTGCAAGATCGACATTCTCTTACACGTGCTTGTCGAATCCACTCACACAGGTAGTACGTATGCGTACCTAATCGGCCCGTTGTTCTACTGCAACAGTCCTTTCGCTAGGCATCACCCACCTCTTCCGAATGCCAATACGCTTGGATGTTTACTGTTAAGAAACCTGTTTTCTTGATGTAGCTGTCTTTTTACTTCCAGTAGACTTGCTCTTGAGAAGATGAGTGAGACATGTGTCGACACGTACACTCTGTGTAGACAATCAGTAGGTTGAATATACATAAGTAGTCGTTGAGTAGACTCTGCTGGATCTTCTGATACCTTCTTCTCAACCGGTGGGTCGCCAATGGGATCACAGTACACTACCTGTTGTCGCCCAGACCGGTTCAATATGATCACTCACATGGGAATTGACTGTTCGATGGCTTCGGTCTAGATTTGACATCCTCCAACTCCTACCACTGCCTCCTCGCCTATCATGTTGGCTACGTTTAGTGTCTTTTCTCCTCCCTGGTCTTGTGAATGTTATACACTCGATTGATTGGAACAAAAAAGACGCACTCATCAGCGATGTCAATATAGTTGATTATGGCATCAAGCACAACACTGGCATGTGCACACTAGTTCAACTGCCGCGAATATTTCGGCGGCTTTTTCGGTACCACTGTGATGAAGTCAGAGGATGCCACATCCAAGAAGCTAACTACATCGACTAGAGCTCCATGTACTAATTGTAATATTTGAAAATTGTCTAGTTTGACAGAACACTCAGGATCGGCAGAAGGGAAGTGGTGCTACATGTTCATCCTAGAGACAGTCCCTCATGTTGCGTGGCGCTGAGTTGTCTACCAAAACCTATGGACCACGATTTTTCGCGAGCTTGAATTGACTCAGGCGTCGCTAGTAACATCGATTTGTATGTTTCTACCACCTACTCGAGTATAACACAGCCAATTTGTACTTCATCGCCTTCATTGCTAACATATTACATTGGGGCAGATTAGATGTTGCGAGGGTTGTGTGAAAACAACTCAGTGAGATGTCGTACAGTGACCACACTCAGATTCTTGGAGCGATTTCTGCATGGCTGAAGCATTACCTCTTGGTTCAATGATATGAACGAAATGAGAGCACGGTATCTTTCTCCGTGTTTCCATAGCCGTCACATTGGCCCTTTTGAGCGATTTATCCCCGAGATAGCAGACCTCACCGCGAATATCTCACCTTCACTTTGAATGTCGGTGCACCACTTCACAACTTGTTTATTACCACATCCTTTGCTCCAAAATTCACATTGCCAGCACACACACACACACACACACAACAATTTTTTTGAAATTCAACCAACCATTACGTGACATTGCACAACAGGATACCAGCATATCGCTGTACATCTACACAATGGATTTCCCACATTTCCAACTCCAAGCAGGATTGGCGGCGACCATGTTCTCGCCAGACGTAGTACCAGCGCTTTGGGGCCAGTCTGACGACTCAAAACAAGGTATCAATAAAAAAAAACCCGCAGTCACCCTTCAGAGACATGATGTGAGAGAGTGTGTTGGCGATAGTAGCTCAGAACCTCGTCGACCGGTTCGCAAGAGTAGTGCGAGGTCACTTGCCAGTCTCTTTAGACGCAAGAGGCGCGATAATAGCGGCCTCTATAGCGGCAGCCAGCTATCCATCATTTGGAGCTCTGAGCATGAGGACAATGACGCCACCGGCATGGATGAGCGTCCTCGGTTGGATGAAGAGAGTCTTTGTCAGGAAGCAGAAACAGGCGAAAGCGAGGACACCGCCGACGATTTTGGTCAACAAAGTCAGTGGCTTCTACAATCTGAGTGATCTAAACTAAACCGGCCGTAGAAGAAGTCGAAACCCCCGAAGACCTCGGACAGCTTCAAGCACTGTCACCCAAACAGTTTGCTGTTTTCGCGGAGGAATCCGTCACTTCCAATGAGGACGAAATCGACAGATTCCATAATGAGCACTCGGTAACCGAAGAAACAAGTAAGAGAAACGACAACCTCTCAAACCGCGGCCATGTCTGGAAGCACCGAATATTCGAATCCCTGCACGTCAACTTCTCACACGACGACGTCCGCTGCATCGCCCAAGAGATCTACGACGAGACTGTCGCCGAGGTCAACCTCTCTCTCTTCAGCTACTGGATCAACGAAAGTAGCAAGAACTACCAAGAAGCCAGTCTGCACATCCGCGAGCTACGCCTCGACCACGTATCTATCGAGTGTTCCCCTGTCCCACCAATTTTTCACTAAGAAGCACTCAACGCTAACATATACATTGTTCGATAACAGGGCTATAACCTTGCGCGCATCGCGAACCCACACCTTCGCACACTGATGCAAGAAGTATTCACCCAACGCCCTGTGTATGCCAAACCCCCCACTCACCTCTGCTTACGCAAGAGCCCAGGAATCCACAACCTGCGTGACCCAGGTACAACCTGGTGTCACAATAGATTCCTGGGGACTCTCTGAACCTCTCGTACACCCACAATTTGCCTCTCTCTGTTTGCCCGAAACCCGGACTAAACAGAGCGTCGCAAACACTCTAGCAAATTGCCGAAACTAACGCATGTGGTGTACAGAGAAGCCCGCATCGCCCTGCAAGAACGAGCCTCGCACAGCAACCTGAGCATTACTACTACTAGCTCGATGCGCAGTGGTAGTAAAGGCGATTTCTCCGGCTTCCCGCGCATCGATGCGCTTCCGCCAATCCTGCGTGTCGAGCGGCAGCGCGCCATGAGTCAGGCGGCCCAGCACTCAACGTCACTGGCGTCGATGGCGTCGGAGCTGAGGGATTACCCACCAAACAGTACGTTTCCCTTTACTATCTCCTACCATGTGTTTGGTGGCCTTCTAGAACATATGGCTTTCTGGATAATATGTACTGATGAGAAATAAATATATAGCACCCGATCGTCCGTTGCCGCTTACGCTGCGCTCGCCGACTACCAGCTCAACGCTGAGTACGCAGCCGACGCTGCCGTTTGGGTTTCCATCTCCCGGGACGCCTGTCCGAATCAGCGACGATGGGTACTCGGGATTGACCTCGTACGCGGGGTCGCTTTGTGACGACGATGACGACGACGGTGTTGAAGGAGAAGAGGTAGACCAAGAGGCACTCTGGCACGACCGAGTCGCCGACGTTGTTGAGAGCATCATGGTGCTAGAAAAGCCGGACCAGATCAACCAGGTGATTGAAGAGTTGGAGGGGCTCAAGGCCTTGTACCTCTAGATCACCCTCGAGACAACCGTTCTAAGGCACCTCCGTGTGCGCTGGGAATCGCATACTAGGCGGTTGCATGTATGGACTCGCGAGTCAATGGGCACAGTATAACTGTTAGTAGCACACACAATCATGCACAATAATACCACCTTCTCACCCAATTTCCTCGGACTAACCCTACTTCTCCCCCTCCAAACTCTCTGTTCGATTCAGCGCTGTTTTCAGTCTGCTAAACCCAATTTAGGAGCAATCTGTGAACAGTATGTGCTCCATCTAGAAAACGGCGATGGAAACGGCGTCATGTGCGGAGAATATACGTCTAGCGGCCACAAGCCGGGCGCTAGAAAGTATTAGCGCATCTACACTGAGATAAAGCTCTATCTAATACAAATCAGTCCTACATTTTCCTTCCGTTTAGGCAAAAAACAGAGATCCGTTTTCCAGCTACATACGTCAACCTCTAGCCCTCCATCTCTAGCAAAAAAAAACCCCCCATTTTATCATTACTAGTTCAATATAGTAACCCAGCCTACCATATAACCCTCACACACCCATCATCATCACAAAAAACCAGCGCTCCATTCCCTAGCAACATCTCAATCTACACAGATACCCACTAGCCAAGCCCCCCTAACCCAAGAATAGCACCCTAATATCCGCAGAACTGCCACCGCTTAATACACTCCACACATCCCTTCCCTCTTCGTGTCTCTCTCTCTCTCTCTCTCCCCAAGTACCGAACAAACCCTTGAAAGCGGTGAAACAAACAAAACACCACCCCCGCTGCAACTTTCCTCGAACGTCAATAGAAAACACACGTTCATAAGCACTCTAACCTTATCTCCACATTTCAACACCCATGAAAAAAAAAACACCGACTTAATATATATATACATGCTATAAACTTGACTCCATAGTGCTTATTTCGACCCCTCACCACCTACCTCTGGGGGCGATGCCCCGTTTCAAGTATACCCACGTGCGTTTGCCGGCCAATGTAAATACTCGGTTGAACAATATGTGTTCTAAGTAGTAAGTAATGTGGATATGTTTTGGAGTTTGTGCGCACGGATTCCCACGAATGACGGGGCTGGATTCGGGCCGGCCGGGCTAACTTGTCTAATATTTCTCTTGTTTTGCGTGGACAAGTTTAATGGCCGGGGGGGGGGTGGAGAATTCAAGGCAAGTTTACTTACGATATGGGGTTAAAAACACGGGGTAAAGTAGATTGAGTGGACGGATATATGTATATAAAAGGCTTTGCGAAGCTTTTGCCTGTTGCTTGTCCGTTTCTTCTTCTTGTGTGACCTTAAACTCGCCAACGGGAAGTAACTAGTCTTGTTTATTGTGTATATATATATATATATATTTAAGAGAAGCTTAGTTCAAGATGAAGTTTCTTATTTCGCTCTTGGCTTGCGGTTCAGCGGCTTTCGCTGCGCAGCTAACTCAAGTCTCGAATTATGGGGGTTCGGCGAAGGCGAGACCGGGAATGTATGTATACAACTTACTTCTCCCATCTTATCACACCATCTCTTGTCTTACGGATTTTGCTAACATTGCAACATAGGTACGTCTACAAGCCCGACCAGGTCAAGACCGATGCGCTCGTTGTAGCCATCCACCCCTGCGGATCCACCGGCCAGAGCTACTTTGGCTGGGCACCCTGGAAAAAGGGCTCGGATTCCAAGGGCTACATCACCGTGTTCCCGAGCGCGACGGCGTCATGCTGGGATGTTTCGAGCAAGGCGTCGCTGTCGCGTGGTGGTGGCGGCGAGTCGAACGCTATTGCGGATATGATTGCGTATGCGACTAAGCAGTACAAAATCAACCCCAAGAAGGTTTATGTGGTTGGAGAGTCGTCTGGTGCAATGATGACGAATGTCTTGGCGGCGGCGTATCCCGATCTTATTGCTGCGACTTCAGTGTACTCTGGTGTCGCCGCTGGATGCTTTGTGTCGGCTTCTGGAGGGGTGGCGGCGTGGAACAGTGAATGCGCTCAAGGGCGCTCCATCAAGACTGCGCAGCAGTGGGGTGATATTGCGCGCGCAATGAATCCTGGCTACAGTGGCTCGCGTCCCCGTGTTCGTAAGTGGATTTGTGCTTTCCCGAGGTGTTACGGTTGCTGACTTGTGTGTAGAATTCTGGCATGGCTCTGTTGATGCCACCATCCTCCCGCCCAACTACAACGAGACGCTCAAGCAGTGGACCAACGTGTTTGGAGTCAGCACTACGCCTACAAGGTCGCGGGCCAACACGCCCCAGACCAACTATCGCACCGATGATTTCGGTTCCAACGTTCAGGGTATCTGGGCAGTTGGTGTCGGACATGGTGTCCCAGCTCACCAAGCTCAAACTGAAGCCTGGTTCGGATTGTAAAAGGACGCGTTTTCTTGTGATATGAGCAGCATACTTCATGTACATAAGTAGTCAAACACACAAGCCGTAAATATTGATCACCTCCCCGAGCTCTGACTCTCGCTTCTTCGATGGGTTTCTTTTGGTACTTTTAGTGTGTCTCGTCGTTTTGGTGCCCGGACGGGACTAGAATCCAGTCGCGGCGTTTCTGATACGGGTGGTGGTGAGCTGGGTCCGATATCTGATGTAGACCGAATGCTTGCTGCATATGTGCTGCTGGCTCTTTCCCGGATCAGATCAAAATTGCGACTAGTTCTCTCAAGATTTGGGTTACGCCAGACTTCTCCGGGTACCTCTGGGAACGATCGTGTCGCCTCGTTGGTGCTGTTTTGCTCCAAATCAAGCCTTTCATGTGCAGCATCGCCAAGATAGTTACCAGCAGAGGTCAGCCATCTACGGACTTTGTGTCTACCGGCTGTCGGGTGATCGTCTGGCTGAGTATCCCGACGGTCCTCGGGAAGGATTTCGCGTATATGATCGCCATTGTCCCCTGAATGCGTAATTGTTGGAATCAATGAAATATCATTGGGCGACTCTGAGCGTATATCCAGATCACTGACTTGGAGGTTCGAGTTGGAGTTAGAGTTCCTCTGTGGCGGTGGAGTCGGACATCGTTCGCTACCATGACTGTGATGTGACGAGTGTGAATGCCCGCATTCTGGCGTGTGCTTCTGTTCTGTAGTCTCTTTGTCGCTGGTTGACCACAGTAGATACAAGGATCCCAAAGCACCGAGGATTGTACCAGCTATAGGTGACCACTGCCCTGCATAGAATGTTAGACAAACAAGACTGTCAGCCTATTTAGCGCCATGTAGTGCCACTTACCAAAAGACCCCATGGGTTCGGTCATGTGCATCATCTGAGGGCTGAAGAAGTTTGCTTCGCCGATGCCGATAATGGTCAGTATAACGCCACCAAAGAGCGGAATCTCAATGACAGTCAGAAAGGATCGCACGAGGCCGTTGATGTTTCTTATCTCTCTGACTGTCATGTTTGTGCCTTCAATACGGGCATCGAGCTCTTCGCCATGGCGACGTCTCTTCCAATTAGTTTCCAGGACCTTGTCCCATGTGAAGATCAAGGACAGGATGGCTGGTATACAAAACCCTGCCGCCAAGAGCATGCCGGCATTAAAGGTCAGGATCCGTGGTACAGGAATAACATAAACGTCGGCTGCAGCTCCGCCTCGCAGCGGTGACTTTGGGCCTTGTGTTTCAGAGCAAGTTAAATTGCAATTGGGCTGCAGTTTCAAAAAGGCGGCGGTTCCTCGGGGTGAGTTGTCGTTGATGGGAATATTACAGTCGGTCGGCGTCACACGGTAGAACTCAACGCACAGGGCCAATAGGCCTATGAGGATCAAAATAGTCCACAAAAAGATTATGTTCCTTCCAGGCGTGTAAAAGTAGGTGCGCGACAGTCGCACCGTGAGCGGAGCGGCCAAGATGCCAATTGCGCACACTTGAAAGGCACCAAAGATGTCCAAATCGATTCCTCCTGGTCACGTCACATGTCAGAACAGGCGTCGCTGTGGCTCTTGGGGGTTCTTGGAAGTTGCAGCACTGACCATTCTGGTGCGCAGATGCGAGCACGATGCCTTGGAGCGCCGAGATGGCGGGGAGTATCAAAACGGCAGCCAAGCACGTGTTCCGTAACCATTCAGCTTTGCGAAATGTCACACATGCGGCAACGAGGACATAGTATAGGATCTGGATGCGGGTGTCAGTTGTTAGCTGGGCGGGAACGCATCTTGACAGGCAGGTGGGGGGGTGGGTTACTTACACGCGACCCGGTGCCGTAGTTGGAAGATATGGGCCAGGCACAGACGACTTCGAAGGCTGCGCTAGTTGGAGAAGATCGAGCAGAAGAGGCGATGGTTGCAGTGGTAGGGGTGGCAATGTCGGGGATTGTTGAGGACGCTGACATGTTCACACCGTATATTCACCCAAGGAGCAGATGAAGACCATCGTTATGTAGAAGAGCACAGCACAAAAAAGAGCCGCAATGGCATTACGAATTGGCCTGAGCAGGCAGACGCCGGGCCAGTGAGGCGGCGGTAGAAAATGCCAATGTTCTGGGGAAAACGCGTCATTTACCGGTGAGTGTTTATGGTTGCATAGGGCGAAGCGTGGCTGAGCAAACAGCATGACCTGCCTGGGCAGTCAATCACGAGTCTTTTGCCTCACACTCAGAACCCAACTCATGATGCGAGCCGCTCTGACGGTGCGCAGCCGGCCAACACGACGTCGTCAAGACTAGAAGAGATCAGTGCGCATCAAAGGAGACGGGCTCAGATAAGGAGAAGGGTTGCATCATTGGGTTCTCGCCACCCTGTTTGCATGACCAGCCTCCCGTCCTTAGCCCTGGCAGCCCAAGACCGACGGTGCAGGTAGGCGCAGCGGTGCATGAACCTCGTTCAGTACTCACGAAGTAGGCGCAGTATCTGACTGCTCTCTAGCTATAGTCCAGCTATATGCACACCCACTTCACCACCGTCGTACAAACTTCTTGGTAGCCCTTGGCTGCCATGCTTCAACTCACAAATCTTGGCCATCACCACTGATTTGCGTGGTCCCATCTTAGCCCAACGTACCGGCTCCCGACAAACGCTTCTCACCCGTCCATCGGGCCCACCAGAAAAGCTTGGTCGTACATACATATCTGCACACCACTACCCTTTCTTTCTTTTTTCCCTCAGCTAGAATTAACTCGCAGTGCGCACTTGGCTTTCTGGTAGCCGTCGCAACATGCTTGCCCCACGTGCGACGACGGAGCCAGAGAGGCCCAACCTTGACACCAACGAAATCAAACAATGGCGCTCCATAGTCACGCTCATTGTCTTTGTTCTGACAAGTAAGTCGACTATGCATGCTGACAGTTGCAGACACCCAGCTCACTCTAGACACTTGTAGACATTAACGTCTTGTTCCCTTTCCACATACCCATCTACATACCCCGGCCAATATGGACTCTATGCCTCGACACCGTTAGTGCAATGCGCATCATACCACCACCCCAACATCCAACCAGAGTGCACAATGGCCGACCTGGTAGCTATGTGCGATTCGACTTTCCCATGAATTTCATCACTGCTCCTCTGATAGCCGATCTCTTCCTGCTCGCCATCCTTGCCATTGGAGAAAAAGAAGTGCGTGGTGGTACCGTTGGTGACCAAGGCATTGTCCCCTATGATATTATGCTCTTCTTCCTCTCCCTCGCCTACATTGCTATTTCTGTCGATGCCTCTGGTTTGATCAGATGGCTGGCTTTCAAGGTTTTGCAGAAAGGAGGAAAAGTAGGCCACAGGCTGTTCTTTTATCTATACGCCTTCTTCTTCGGACTTACAGCTCTTATCGGCAATGATCCTATTATCTTGTCAGGCACTGCTTTCTTGTCTTACATGACTCGTGTGTCAAGCAACATTAAGCATCCAAGAGCATGGATCTTCACCCAGTTCTCCGTGGCCAATATCGCATCCGCAATCCTCGTCTCCTCCAATCCCACCAACCTTGTCCTTGCGGGAGCGTTCAAAATTACCTTTATCAAGTACACAGCAAATGTCATTGTTCCCGTCCTCGTGACAGGCATTGTTCTATATCCCTTTTTGCTGTACATCATCTTCCATGATGAATCTCTCATCCCTCCTGCGATCAAGATGGAGGATCTTCCAGAGGAGCTCAAGGTAAGAAATTTACATGATTGTCATGGCCATAGCTAATCTGAACCCGATAGAACAAGAAGCCAGTGAATCCAAACATTCCGTATGCCAAAGGTGGACTCGAGGACAGCGAGGTTGACCCTAACAGCGACGACGAGCAAGAAAAGAAACAATCTCTGGAAGAAGTCTTGAATCCATTCCTCGACAGAAAAGGCGCCATGTTCGGAGCGGTTCTCATGGCAGCCACTCTAGTAACAGTGCTTGCTCTCAATGCAGCATCCACAGGCACGCACGAGCGCCCTGTTTTCTGGGTTACTCTACCCGCTGCATTCGTCATGCTCTGCTTCGACCTCACAATGGGCTGGCTCAACCGAAAAGAGACAAGAAGAATCGCCCACGAAGGCCGGCAGAGAATGGAGACCGCACTCGCAGAAAGAGAAGAGGCAAGAATAATGTCTGTTGCACAAGTGGATCAGGATGCAATCACACCACACCCTGTTCAACGAGAAAGCCAAGTCCTAGACGAGAAAGCCCAATCAGTAGCAGACGACGCCAGCCACACCACAAGCGGAGAGCAACAAATAACACCCTCATCATCCGCCGAGCGCATGCCCCGATCAGAAGAAAAACTCGAGCCAACCAAAAAACCCGTGCCCACCACTCTCACCTCCCTCATCCACAACGCCTACATGTGGGCCCAAGAAACCTTCCCAACAACAATGACCGTATTCCACCATCTCCCCCTAGCCCTCGTCCCCTTTGCTTTCTGCATGTTCGTCCTTGTCCAAGCCCTCGTAACCAAAGGCTGGGTCCCTGTTTTCGCCTATGGCTGGGACCACTGGGTCGAGAAGACGGGGACCGTTGGAGCAATTGGCGGTATGGGGTTTGTTTCTGTTATTTTGTGTAATGTAAGTTTTCCCCCTTTCCCATCCACAGAAAAAAACATCAGTCGCGAAATCAATGAAAATAAGGATGGAAGGATGTTGACATGGCGAGATGGGAATAGAGCTAATGAAAAAATAGTTCGCAGGCACAAACATCGGTACCACTATCCTGATCTCGCGTGTCATCCAAGCGTGGGAGGAGATTCATCGACAGAATAACCGACCGATTTCTGATCGCACATTTTGGGGAACTATATACAGGCACTTACCTCCCCTTCCTTCCACACAACAAAAACGCTAACACTCATACTAGCATGGCCATCGGCGTAAACTACGGCGCCTTCAGTCTCGCCTTCAGCGCCTCCCTCGCCGGCATGCTCTGGCGTGACATCCTAGGCCGCAAACACATTCGCGTCGGCGGCCTGGAATTCGCTCGCGTCAATCTACCCATTATCGCCATTACCATGGTCGTCGGGCTTGTGGTGCTGATTGGCGAGATTTATATCATTAGGGATAACAAGCCTTATTCGCTTGGTTGAAATCGCGGCTTGAAGCGAAAGGTTCTATTGGAACTGAGGGTTGTCCAGCGATGTCCACGCATGCGGATCTGAAGTTTGAGGAAGGCGGGAAGACGAGAGAGGCTGGAGTCGCGGAAGAGACATACGCAACGTTTCCTGCTTCTATGTAGAGCAGCGAAGACGAAGACGAGTCGTGGTGTGGGGCACTGTGTGCGAGATGGCGACGAAAAAGTCGAAATGCGTCGAAGCAACGGCGTCGAAGAGGGTAAGAATGGGAATTGGGCATAATACGTGGTAATGATACTAGATAGACTGGGATAGGGGTATAGACAATTGAAATCGAAACTTTAAAGGGAAATGCTATCATTGTGAAATGAGCTTATTACTCTTCTCCTATACACCCTGTAAATATGTATATCTGCTCTTTGCCCATTCCTGTGGGTCCAAAGGACTACTACTCTCCATCACCTAAGCATAAATCGAAAAGAGTGAGAACCGCATATCACCAGCACTGAACAAGGTTAAATGCAAGATCAAACGAAAAATTGCTATTATATATTTCCCTCTCGCCCTCTTCACTCTCCACTTCAATCCCCGTCCTCAAAAAAAAAACACATTATATTTAAACTCCCTCCGCGAAACCTAAACCCATACTCCCTGGAGTCATTTTAAAAAAAACGCCCAAATCTCAATCCTACTTTTGTATGTTCACCGTGACCCCAAAACGAGAAGAAAAAGTTAAAAAAAAACTCCAAGCAATGTAACCCCTGGCTTATTCCCCGCGTCAAGACCTATAACTAATGTATGCGAGATAAGATATATGTATGTATATATAAAAAAAAGCTGGAAAGTTCTTTTCGCAGCAAAAAAAAGCAAAGCAAAGCAAAGCAAGCAAACCACGCTCTCGCTCGACATAAAAAGAGACAAAGACGAAAAGTTGCAAAAAAAAGAAAGGCGTCGTCCAAGGGAAAGAAAAGAAAGAGGAGCTCAGCAGTGGTATCACGCGCAACAAAACAACGAAACTCGTCAGAGAAGAAGAAAAAACAAACAAACTCAGAACGCTCAAGGTCAACGCGGGGTAAGAAAGAGAAAGAAGAAGGTAACGACCAATCTTAGCTCAAGCGTGTATTATCACCCAGTAGGCGACAACGTCATAGGCGATGGCGTATCCGCGTCCGTAGCAACAAGGCCATTAGCCACACGAGGCGGGGCAGCAAACGGCTTCGCATCCGCCATTTTCGCCAGGGACTTTGTGGTGCCATTCGCCGCTGAAAGATTCGCAACTGAATTCGGGGGCGTAGTTTCCGCCTCTTCGGGGATCGTCTGGCAGTAAGTCTTGAGCACGTGTTTGAGAGCTGGACGACGAATAGGCTTCGAGAGGAAGAAATCCATGCCAGATTCGAGACATTCTTTCACGTTGCTTTCTTCTGCATAGGCGGTGAGGGCGACGATGGGGGCTGAGAAGCCGGATTGGCGGATGAGACGTGTGGATTGGAGACCGTCGAGGTTGGGCATTTGGACGTCCATGAAGATGAGGTTGTAAGGGGCCTGGCGCTCCATGCTTTCCTTGACTTTATCGAGGGCTTCCTGGCCGTCCTTTGCAACGGTTACGTCGTACACGTCTTCGAGCTTGAGCATGCGCAAGACGACTTCTTGGTTGGTTTTGTTATCCTCAGCAACGAGAACCTTGACCTTATCACCGCGTTTCGTTGCTTCGGCCTCCACGCGCTTCATGGCTGCTACCTGCGACTTTGGCGACTCCAACGGCTTGTTTGAGGCAAAGAAGGGATGACTGAGACCAACAAGACGGGGTTGGTTGTCCGACTCAAAGGACACTGGACCCGGTGGTGCGGTAGCGGCCGAAGTAGCGACGCTGATAGGGCTGTTAGCCCCGGAACGCAACGAGCGGGCCGACCGTGCATCGTCATGGGATCGACGACGCGGGGGGTCGTCGATCGACATGCTCCGCCGTGGGGTTCCAGTTTCCATATTAACAACCCTCGAACTGGCGCTGCTGTCTGCTCGGCTGGCCACGTGCTTCAGTGGAATAGCCATAGTAAACACGCTTCCGTGACCGACTTCACTCTTCAGACCGATCGTGCCTTTCATCAAGCCCGCAAGTTGCGAACAGATGCTCAAACCCAAACCAGTACCTCCAAACTTCTTGCTCAGGCCCAAGTCACCCTGGACAAAAGGTTCAAAGATCTTGGAATGTAAATGGTCAGGGATACCTGGACCGGTATCTTCAACCTCAAACTCAAACGTCAGCCAGCGCCCAGGCGGCGGTGTCGCAGCCCGCTCTTGAAGCATGTAATGCGAATACGCATTTCCCTTGTCCATGACGTTGATTGCGTTTGCAGTATCGTAGTGGTTCGGCGTTGCTACTGATACCGATCCAATTTCCGAAGCCGACGTTCTTACCCGCGCCTTTGAGTTGCGTGCCGAGCTTTGCCGTGACTGTATCGAAGCCTTGCGGCTGTCTGGCATGCGGGCCTCTCCAGGGCATCGAATCGTGAGCGTGACCGAGCCACCCTGGGGCGTGAACTTGAGACTGTTGGACACGAGATTGATGACCACCTGCAGTATTCGATGTTGATCTCCGTACAGAATCATGTCCTTCAGCCGGCCAAGCCCAAAAGGACCGAGATCACGCAATTCATTGGGCCGCCCGTTTTCATCCAGATTGTTCTCATACGGCCCTTCGAATTCCACAGCTAATTTGATGCCGCCTTCTCTTGCCTGCTTGTCAAAAATAGCCAAGACTTGGGAGCTGACGTCTCGCAGGCGAAACTCCTTCTCATCCAAGCTCAACTGTTGTCCAACTTGGTTCTTGCTGAAAGTCAAGAGATCCGTCAACAGATTCAGCAGCAAGTCTCCGCTCTTGTAGATGATACCCAAAGACCGTTTCAACTTGACCGGGTCGTCCTCTGACATGCATACTGCGCACATGCCCAAGATACCGTTTAATGGCGTCTTGAGCTCGTGCGAGATGTTTGCAATGAAGAGAGTCTTGCTCTCATTCGCAGCCTCTGCAGCTCTTTTGCTTTGCTCCAGCTCTGCCGTTCTCTGTGCTACTCTCTCTTCAAGCTTCTCGTACTGCATCATCAGTTCGTCCGTCATCTCGTTGAAGGTGGTGGTCAAATCGGTGAGTTCATCGTGGATAAAGTGCTTGCGGTCCTTGACTTTGCTCGGGATGCGGAACTGCCTACGTCTCTCTGCCTCCTTCTTTTCTGTCTTGTTGAGTTTGGCATTTCTGCGGTAATGTACAATCTGACCAAAGAAACCTTCCTTGTGAGCTAGCGCTGCATCGTCTGAGCCATCAGGCCCACCATCATGGTGCAAGCTGGAGTCGTCATCTTCAAACGCCGAGGGCGAGACCGTCTTCTTAGTGGCATCTCGTAGCCGTCTGATTGGCTGACTCGAGAAATGCGCCACGGGGAACGCAGCAATCAGCATGGCACCAATAGTACCAAAAACACAGGCGAGGATGATGTTTCGAAGATGATTGATGGGCTCCCAGACCTCCTTACGCGTCTGCTCAACCACAATCATCCAATCGACCATGGGGCTGCGGACAATAGCGTATCCAACCGCAACCTGGTCGCCTATCTCATTCTCCGTAGGAACAATACTACCAGCATTACTAGTAGCACCGGTCGCCTGGGTGAAGCCTTTGCGGATGGCCGGGTATTCGGACCAGTCAAAAGGAGGAAGTTCAAGTTCGGTGTCGTATTTGCCATGTCGCTGCATACCGTTTCTGTGGGTTGGCGGTACAAGAAAGCGCACCTGCGCTTTTTCCGGAGGTGTTGGATTCACGGCATCATACATGTAGCTTGACGGAAAGACATTGGTAACGTTATTGGGGCCAAAAAGGAGAGTCAGTCCACTCTTGTCGAGACCGTCAATGGCATCCACAACACTGGTAATGAGCGAGGCGTCCAGAACAGTCGTGAGCCATCCTAGCGTATCGATGTTGGACGTGTTGTTAATGATGGGTGCGGTAATGGAGACGAGACTAAGAGAGTCATTTACGCGATACGGGCCGAGCAAGAGATAACTCGTGTTATCGATGGTCCTTCCCTCAAAATGCGCCTTGAAGGTGTTAAAAGACGAGTTGAACGGAATAGACTCGATAGTAAATTTAGGATAAAGTTCAGGTATGAAGCCATATTGGGGGTCGCCTAGCGTTGCGTTTTGGCCGTCTGGTTTCTGAATAGGGAGCACGACATCCATCATCGTGACGGCAGTACGGCGGAAGACTGCGCGGTCCGACGAGTTGTAGGGAAAGATCTGGGCCTGGATAGGGATGCGGGTCCGGATATCGCCCGAGAAGATGGCATCGTAGTCTTCCTCGACGCGGGACCAGTTCTCTATCGAGTTGTTACCACGATAGTAGCGACCGAGCGCAGCCTGAGGAGAAAGACGGTTTGCTGCTTGTTGGACGAGAATTTGCATGAGGGCCAGGTTCGAGGACAGCTGTGCGGCTTTGAGCGAGGCGGTTAACGTAAGGCGAGTTGATCTACATGGCACAATAGTCAGCATCGAGGGCACCCAGACCTGAGGGCGCCTGAGGAACAAGGAAATACCGTATGCCGAGCACGAAATCGTGGTTGGTGAGCTATTCATGTCAGCAACAGAAGGCAATGTTAGCAGGCGGGAGTGTGTACCCATGTTGCGACTGCGACGACGGCCAGGCCTATGGTCGAGGCCAGCAGCACCAAACAGCCCAATTGCTCGCGGATGGGGATGCGCATTTTGGCCATGTCACCGGGCGGCGCAGACAGCAGACGTTGTCACAGGCAGGGCTAAGGGCGATGAGCGTCGTATGTGTCCCATTCCTCGCAGTGCATGCAGGCTGGTGTGGATGTTGGGAGGATGGGGAAGGGTGGAGGCGTGGTGTCGAGTGAATGGATGTGCAACGACCAAGAGCACGGCAGCAAGGGTACAGGCAGACGATAGCTGGCAATTAATTAATCAATCGAGCAAGCAGGCGACTAAGAGCAGCAAGAGGCTTGGAGCTTGGGGCGGCGGAAGGAGAGGACAAGAGGCAGTGGCAGCAGAAGAAGACCGAGCAGAGCAGGGCGCGGCGGAGCGGCCGTCGGCATGGCGCGTCGGAACCCTGGTGTGCACAGTCGATGGGGAATGCAGGCCGGATGCTTTGGGGGTAGTGTGGGAGGAGATTACTCTAGCCAGGCGGGTATATCGCTATCTGGCTAGAGGCGCTGACCGTTGGGTGTTCGTTTGCAGCTCCTGTATGGTCGAGGCCAAGCAAGACACAGCTGACAGTGCAGCAATTCGCGCATGGTGACAAGAGCCAGAGACATGACACACAAGAAGCCCCATGCCTAATGAGGCCACATCTCGATGGGCACCACCCAAGAGACCGTCGTGCTGTGTTTTCCTGGCGCGCTCCACCTGTCAGTCTGTCACTCTCCCTCGTCCGCCCCATTCATCCGCATCCGCACGTTTGGGATAGCGGCTGGCCTTGGCGTGGCGGGGACGGGTCTGGCCTCGCCTTTTTTTCTATCGATCGGCAGATTCGTCTCATGCGTTGCGATCCCCCCCCCCAGTCTGCGCTAGTCCAGCCAGCAATAACACAAAAAACTTGCATTCCCTTCAAAATCTCGACAAGCCTCAAACATGGCTGTTCGCAACATTTCCATGTTTGCAGCGTTGTTTAATCGGTCCGTTCTCCCCCGCGTGCTTGGCCGCGAAAATCCCAAGCATAGTTATTTAGTAGTACTAGTGCCGTTCTCCCCCCATTCCCAAACATCAGCCGCACTCTACCCACACATTCGTTTCGGTTCCTGTGCATGTACGCATCTCTCCACACGTACATAAATCATACCACATCTCTACCCATCTCGCCACTAGTAATCACGAACCTTTTTCCCCGGTAGACGGGGGAAAAAAATAAATAAAGGTCACAACCAAAGACGCCACACATACACATACACCCCTGCCCTCTGCCCCCTGCCCCCTGATCTGAACATCTGAAAAAGCAATGCACACAAAACCATAGCCTTCCAAGTCCACGACCTAGGTGTACATATGAACATACTCTCCACATCCCTCTGCACACACACCCCATCTCCGCCTCCCCTTCACCGCGGACGTATGCTA